TTCATGAATAATGGTTGAATTAGGAGAATTGATTATGTGTGTTGGATTGATTTTACGTAGCTAATTCCAGTTGCTAGGGATAGGGGATGATTGTTCTTGTTTAACGTGCATTTGTCGGGCTTCGATTCGTTCATACTTATGTGCGTTGTTTTGATGAAGAATTGATGAATTTGTATTCGATGGATTGATATAATCGAAAAGTGACAATTCGATCTTGCTATTTGTGACAATTGGATATTAATTTGTCGAGTTAGGGTTTGTCAATTCTATGTGATTAGTTGATTAAGCACCTTCTAATTGACTTAGCGGCTTTCAGAACCGAGAGGGGAGAAGTTGTAGAAATAGACTCACATGAGGTAGATGATTTCTTAATTGAATAGTCTATGTGTTTTAGATTGAAATACGTGCTTGTCGATGACCCGTCCCTTGTTACGAAAAGTTATTGGGATTGGGATAATTGGCCTGAATCGTATGCTCGAACTTGTTCGTCTATGTTCAATCTCTTGTTACGAAAAGTTATTGGGAGCGAACCGCTAGATGTATAAGCGAGAGTGTCAATCTCGAACTGAACAATTGATAGCCTGACTTTGCTAGAACTTGAATTAATTATCTCCGATTCCCTAGCTTCTCCATCCTTGTTTCATTCACATTTTAGGTAGATTATGCTTTTTATTATTTCTTAGCTAATAATTTATCAAACCCGCTATCTGATTAGAATATTTAGAATTTTATTTTCTTTTATGTGTAATCGATACCAAAGCTGAATTCCGAACCGCCTTCGTCATGAGATCGACCCGAGAAACGAATCTTTTGATTCAGTACTCGGTAAAAAGAATAATTTGTACACAACAAGTATTTCTAAATGTATTGAACAGTGCTTTATCGGGCATGTGGCCTTTAGTTTTAGGACATTTTGGCTCGTAGGCCTTTATTCTTTGGGCGTTTGAGCCTTAGGGCATTTTTAACCTCATAATTTTAGAGCATTCCGGAATAAGTCTGGCCGGCCGAAAATTCCGGCCGTCTAAGGCCTAGCCGACAGGCTATGCCGGCCATAACTGGGTCGGCCGCGATTATTGGGTCGGCCGGACCGTGACCGACCGCGATCGTC